AGCTTGTCAATATCTGTAATTTGAGTTTCTAATTCGTATGAAACAATAGACTTTGATTTTTGTGTGTAACCTGGCACTGGTTCAAATGAGGTGTTTGTGAAGTCAAAATACTATGTTTATCTGTTTTTTTTAACATATAATTTTAAATTAACAAATTGAGTAATATATAGTTCTAAAATTTTGAATGTGAGTCAACAAATGAGATGACATGGCCTTTCACCTGTGACCCATATCGAAAGGGTTAACAGACTTTACAACAAACTTAGTGTGGTCCTTTTTTATCTTTTCAGTTTTTCAAAAACATAAGCCAATACAGTTTCAAAAATACTCATATTAGGGTTTTGTGCAGACCTAAAATGAGCTATTCATCAGGATGACTTTAATGTATGAAAGAGAGGACCCTCAGAGAATTTGGCCACTCAACTTAGCTGAATTTTTAACGGCTCTTATTGCATAGTTAGAAAGCCAGAAAAATTGTGATAGCTATAGAATGTTGTTTGCTTTTTGCATGTTATTATTCTGTGTTCTTTGGCGCAATATTTAATCAAATACAAAACTGTTTAGTGCATTAATACCATTAGTATAAAAAAGTAGGATTAAGTTTCATTGACAGTTCACAGCAAAAGAAAAAAGACCCATGTAAGTACTATATTTCTTGTTTTTCATGTGTATTCTTTATTTATAATTAAAAAAGTAACTAAAATATAAAAATTAGAAACTTTTTAGGTTAGATATGATAAAATAAATAATAACAATAAAAACTTTTCATGTGTTATGCTCATAAGCAACTAGTGAGTAGATTGTATGTTACATAATTCGATAGGGTAATGTGAGCTACATATTCACCAAGTTTCTTACAACTTGTGTGGTGGGAATATTAATTAGACACACTTCAAAAAACAATAAAATGAAGTATAAACAGATGTATAAAGTTATGTATTTAAAGTTATTTAGGATGAACAAATGTAGTTTCATGTTACCACTTAAAGTCATTCTAGAAAGAAAAAAGGTAATTTAGGTATATTTGAAAATTTTATGGTGATTATGAGGTCAATCAAACTGACCAACCTTGTATAGAATTGGGGTAGAGAAAATTTCATACAAAATATAAAGTTTTACTGAAAAAGAAATGTTTTAAATTTATTTAGGAAGTCTTAGAGACTATGCAAATGAGATTCTTCAGATGAAAAAAGTATTATTAATCTTAACATGAAAATAATTTTGTACTCCCAGCAGGCAGCACTTTTACACTATATATGCTGAAATGTTTAGTGAAAATACTTCAATTGACCAAGCCCATGGAGAGAGAGAGTTAAAAGTTTTGGTGGTCAGCTCAGTTTCTTCAAGACTGGGTGTGCTTTGTATGTGTCAATAAAGATACATAGACATGCATACATTTTAGATCTAAACTATTGACTTTAAAGGAAACACAACTGAAATACATAAATATTTATCTTTTGTGCTTTGTTTCTAAAGCAAATAATAAAATCCTCGAAAGGGTTAAAAATTTCAAATACTGTTCTTATTTAATGTTTTCTGTTATTAATTCCTTCCACACGGGTTGGTCAATTTGATCAACCATGTGACCTTTTTGTACTCGTATAGTCTTTGCAGATTTGATGCTACTAACTTTTGATATAGTGTGTATATCTTCACAAAATTTGGCAGTCTTTCAGTAAACATAATAAGCCTTTCACACACAAAAAATCATATATTTGAGCAAAATATTTTTAATAAAATAAAAAAAGATTTGTTTTTGAATATATTGAATATTTGTTTTAAATAGTCTGTGTGCAAAGTGATTTTCATGTTAAGATTAAAATGACTTTTTCTCATCTCAAAAATCTTAAATTTTATTTGTGTAATCTCTAAAACCTCCTAAATACATTTCAAATGTTTGTTTTACTTTCAGTAAAACTTTATATTCTCTCTTTTTTCTCTACCCTAACTCTATACAAGGTTGGTCAATTTGACTGACCTCATAACCACACACACACAAAATCTAAATTACCCTCCTTTTCTTTCCAGAATGACTTCAAAAGTAGCATGAAACTGTATTTCGTTTATCCTAAGTAGCTCTAAACACGTAAGAGTATACATCTATTTATAATTAAATTATTGTCCTTTGAACTATGTCTAACTACCATTTGCACCATTATAAGTTGTAAATCACTTGAGGAAGGTGCAGCTGTTACGCTATCGAATTATGCTACCCACGAGCTTCTCCGAGTTCCTCGCATGCATGCCTCGTAAAATGTGAGAAACCTTCAAATTCATAGATAACCCCTTAAAGTATTGATTTCAGTCAATTCAATTTGGAGAACCTGCAATAATTTGAGGTGAGTCAATGAGGTCTACCAGATTTATAAAGTTTTGAGTCAAGTGAAGTCATGGCTTGAATGCCTTGTTATCAATTTGTTCCATGATGACATCTAGTGTCTGTTGGAGGTTCAACCAGACTTATGTTTGAAATGGAGCAAGTATCAATAAATTATCCAAGTTATAATGGCAATTAATTCCAAACCAACGAAGATATGACATTAGGACTTTAAAAAACTTGTGAAAAGATATGATGTAGAAGCTAAGGGACGAGCCTAGAACAGAAAAACTAATATTAAGAGGAAAAAAAACAACTTATGATGAGAAATATGATATACTGGAAATATGAATGTAAGCATCACATTTCCATTTTCCACTGACTTTGAAAAATATGCATCAATAACTACTGAACATTCTTCATTTTAATGAGGAATATTTAAAGAGAATTAAAAGAGATAAATTCCTAACTACACGACAATCTTCTGTATGTGGAGCAGTGACGAAAAGATGAGAAAATAAGCCTAAATCTGAATACTAAAATTTCTCAATAGTCTCTTTAGCCAAAAATAAAATAAGTTTCTGAAGTAAGGAATCAGCTTATCAGAAACCATTGGAGGTATGAAATGAAATAAAAGTAGTGAAATATGAGGTTGATAGTCTCACAAAGACTTCTGATCTTCACTAAAAACCATCAAAACACAAGCATCCAGAACTGTAGTCTTATCAAGATCTATAAACTTCTCAGTTTTTTTTAACAACTAATATTCTGGTCATTAGGAAATCAAGTAAATAATAATAACTTATTCTGCTATAAACTTACTATGAGCAGAAGGACTAGATTCAGGTGTAATATTGCGATTATCCATACCTAGAATATAAATAAATAAAAATTAATGGTAAATATGATACAAAGGCTACATCAGTACAGGTGAAATAAAAGAAACATTTTTTTAAAATGAATACAGACTGAATCTGATTTGGTGTTTTCAATAAGTGCATTCTTCCATTGACAAAATATACTAAAGAAATTTATCTGTAAAGTAATAGCCACCAAAACATTTGTTGAATTTTGCACTAGCCACCCTAAATTTGAAGTGACAGACAAGAAGGAAGGCCCCAAAGCAAGGAATATAATACTTTCTTTTGTAGTAACAGGATCCACAGTCTGGCACACTAATCACTTGGCCCAACTCCTCATACCAAAAACTTTCACAGCCTCTAACTTTTAAAAAAAATCACCTACATAATTAATAAACTTCACTGTCGATAACCTAGATAAAAATTAATAAAATATATAATACATTAACTCAAAGTAATCTTGGGGAAGATGTAAGGGTCACAAATTTAATTCAGTTAAAAGTCAAATAGTGTTGATACACTTAAACACACATGCACAGGTCTGTTACCCTCTTACTACAGGTATGTCAAAGTGTGCATGTCAACTTTTAGAGTTACATTCAAATTTTAATTAAACTACTTTATTATCACTGTATACTCTGGCTGTCTTTCAACTTCTTGTCACCAAAACTAGATTAAGAATAAAGACATTATTTCATCATGATTGGAAAGGGCTCTTGTTCCTATCTTACAGTAGTAGCTGTCTAATTTCTGTTGTTCTCAATAACTTTTGTAGACGTTGATACTGCTATTTTAATGAGATCAGGGTCATGTTGCAGTATCTCACAATCCTAGGTTACCAACATCAGATATATATATATATGCACACACACACATCATTATTTAGGAGAGTTAAACTTCTATTTTATGCTAACCTTTAGAAAGTTTTTGGGCAACTCTCCAAACCAATATAATCTATACACTAAGGTGGGATAACAGTTTGAATAGGCAAATAAGAACTCTCTTGTACAGCCACAGTGGGCATGTGTAGCCTTTGCCTGAGGCAGTCACTAAAGCAAGATTGGGTCAACATTATATTTGCAAGGATATCAACTAAATGCAAAACACCATGGAAATTGTAAAAACTTTACCTCAATAAAAATGTATTCAATTTCTAAGTTACAAAATAGAAAAATCATCTGGTCATGAACTACCCCACTGTCATCTGAGAATTGTGGATAGAATGCAAAGTTTGAGTGAGTTTAATGTATCCAATACAGCATTAAGACAAAAGCTCTGGTGATTTGTTTACTTTAGAATTTTTTGCAACACAATATACAAAGTTTGTGCATAGAACTCCATAATTTTGGACTGATAGACTAGAGAGAAAACAGAACAGCTAGTTAAAGCACCCATTGCCAACCCTTGGGCTACTCTTTATTGATCAAATAGTAAGATTTGATCCTCTTATAATGCACTTCCAAAAGTGTGTTTGTTTGTTTGTTTTGAATTTTGTGCACAGCTACACAAGGGCTACCTGCACTAGCCATCCCTAATTTAGCAGTGTAAGACTAGAGGGAAGGCAGCTAATCATCACCACCCACCGCCAACTCTTGGGCTACTCTTACCAACAACTAGTGGGATTGACCATCACATTATAATGCCCTCACGGCTGAAAGGGCGAGCATGTTTGGTGTGATGGGGATTCGAACCCACGACGTGCAGATTGTGAGTCTAGCGCCCTAACCATCTGGCCATGCCGGGCCCGAAACAAAAAGGTACAAACTCTCCATGGTGAGAGTAGCCTAGGTTTAAGACAAAACGTACAGACTCTCTATGGTGGGATTAAGCCTATATTCAAGACAAAACGTATAGGCTTTTCATTATGGGATTAGGCCTATGTTTAAGACAAAACGTACAGA